AACATCAATATAGGACGAGGGAGTTCCCCACATATTCAGAACTGATTGCGGTCCTACTGTTGGCCGAGGCTAACAGTGAGTTACTGATGAGGAACAATGCCTTGAGACGTGCAGGATCAGCACCCGTACCAGAAGCACATAAGGTTGAACATGATGTTCCCAAAGAATCCAATTACGCCCACAATGATAGGAGACCACACGGCAAGGGTCGTGGTGGGTAGAAGGGGAGTAATGGTCGTGACAACCACCCATACAACCGTAGGTCTGGAAACCACAATAACCGTGGTCGTGGTTCCAGCAACGGTCGCGGGAGAGGCCAAAGTTATGGCCGTGGTCGAGGCGGTACAAGCAAGCCGTCTTACTCGACCAAATATGTTTGTCACCGATGTGGGAGCACTGAACATTTCCAGAAATAGTGTAGAACTCCTAAGCACCTATGTGAGCTTTATCAAGAGAAGATGAAGAATCAAAACCCCGAGGCCCATATGGCCTATGATTCCGGTTATGAGGCTGATAATGATGATGAGCATGGAAGAACTAATATGGATTATGAGACTACTGATTGTTTAAGGGACTAATCATTTTTGACATTTAGCTTTTAATATTTATTTGGTGTTTTATTTTAAGAATGTTTTCTTGAATGCTTGATATGGATTTTGGTGTTTTAAATTTATAATATGAAAGTTTTATTTATAATTTTCTGAGTTTATAAATTCTTATGTATAGTATGATGAATAATGAGATGAGTAAACTTGTGGTGGATAGTGGATCAAGCCATACTATACTTAAAGACAAACGGTATTTTGTGAATCTCACATTGCAAAGTGCCAATATACACACTATTGCAGGCGTGGCCAACCTTCTTGAAGGATACGGCCAGTCTTATGTTTTGATGCCTAAAGGCACTCATCTTGAGATTAAACATGCCTTGTATTCCCCAAGCTCTAAACGGAGCCTATTAAGTTTCAAGGACTTAAGGTTGAATGGTTTACACCTTGAAACATGGGAAGAAGGAATGAAAGATTTCCTTAATATATTTTCAATCACCAATGGCATTAAGAAAATCTTAGAGACTATACCTGCAATAGCTACTGGTCTGTACCTTGCAAAGATCAGTATGGTCGAGGCTAATGCCTGCGAGACCTTTACTCTATGGCACAACCGGTTTGGCCACCCCGGTCATAACATGATGCGAAAATTGATCTTGAACTCTAAAGGGCACACGTTCAAAGGAGTTGTCCCAAAGACTCTCACATGTGAAGCATGTTCACAAGGGAAACTCCTAACTAGGCCATCACCAGTCAAGGTTAATAAGGAAGTTATAAGTTTTCTGGAAAGGATTCAGCGAGATATATGTGGACCTATACACCCACCTAGTGGGACATTTAGATATTTCATGGACTTAATAGATGCATCAATCAGATGGTCGTATGTTTGCCTACTATCCACACAGAATATGGCCTTTGCAAGATTGCTAGCTCAGATCATTAAATTGAGAGCACATTTTCCAGATTTTCCCTTAAAGACTATACGTCTAGACAATGCTGGTGAGTTTACATCCCATGCGTTTAATGACTACTGTATGTCCATGGGAATAAGTGTGGAACATTCCGTGGCACATGTACATACACAGAACGGCTTGGCCGAGTCTATCATTAAACGTATACAGCTGATTGCCCGACCATTACTCATGCGGTCAAAGCTCCCGGCATCAGAATGGGGACATGCCGTATTACATGCAGATGAAATGATTCGCATCAGGCCATCTAGTGAGTATAAATATTCTCCATCCCAGCTACTCACGGGTCATGAGCCAGACGTGTCCCATATCAAAACGTTTGGATGTGCCGTTTATGTTCCTATTGCTCCACCACAGAGAACAAAGATGGGACCACAGAGACGGATGGGAATATATGTAGGATATGAATCCCCGACCATCATTAAGTATCTTGAGCCAACAACTGGTGAATGAACTATGTCATGTCTGAGAAAAATGGAATCGAAGAGAAATCGAGCTCGATGACATATTTGTATACAGTGTAGCACTTGAGATCATGGAAACACATGAGGATCTAGAACCCACGTCTATGTATGAATGCATGCAGAGATTAGATTGGATCAAATGGAAAGAAGCCATAAACGTGGAGTTGAATTCATTGAGAAAGAGAGGCGTTTTTGGCCCTATTATTAAGACACCTAGAGATGTCAAACCAGTGGGACACAAATGAGTCTTTGTAAGGAAGAGAAATGAGAATGGAGAAGTTGTAAGATATAAAGCACGGCTTGTTGCACAAGGATTCTCACAAAGACCTGTAATAGATTATGAGGAAACATATTCCCCTGTGGTGGATGCAACTACATTGAGATATTTGATTAGTCTGGCCGTGAAAGAAGGCTTGAATTTGCGCCTAATGGATGTAGTAACAACATACCTTTATGATCCACTGGATAATGAGATTTATAAGAAAGTTCCAGAGGGTATTGAGCTCAAAGATAAGAAATGTTCTCGAGAACAACATTGCATAAGATTGAATAAGGCTTTATATGGTTTAAAGCAATCAGGTCGTATGTGGTACAAAAGGTTATCCGAGTACCTAGTCAAAGAGGGCTATAAGAATGATCCAATAAGTCCATGTATTATTAAAAAGAAGTTTGACAACAAAGGTTTTGTCATTATATCAGTCTGTGTGGACGATCTGAATATACTTGGAACCCCTGGAGAGATCACCCAAACAGTTGAGTATTTAAAGAAAGAATTTGAGATGAAAGATCTTGGTAAAACCAAGTTTTGTTTGGGTTTGCAGCTTGAGTATGTAAAATATGGTATCCTTGTGCATCAGAAAACATATACAGAAAAGATACTCAAGAAGTTTAATATGGACCAGGCTCATCCATTGTCAAATCCTATGGTCGTAAGGTCCTTAGACCTAAAGACTGATCCGTTCAGACCAAAGGAAAAGGATGAGGATGTTTTGGGTCCGGAAGTACCTTATCTAAGTGCCATTGGAGCTTTAATGTACTTGGCTAGCCACACTAGACCAGACATTTGTTTTGCCGTGAACCTACTTGCTAGATTTAGCTCATGTCCGACTTTTAAGGCATTGGAACGGAGTAAAACACTTGTTCAGATACTTGCAAGGAACAAAGGATCTTGGTTTGTTCTATACTTATTGACCAAAGAAGAGTTTGGTCGGATACACGGATGCTGGGTACTTGTCTGACCCGCACCAGGCTAGATCTCAGACTGGGTACGTTTATATACATGGTGGTGCAGCAGTATGCTGGCGATCAAAGAAGCAGTCGCTTGTAGCCACATCTTCCAACCATGCCGAGATCATAGCCATGTACGAGGAAAGTTCTGAACTTGTGTGGTTGAGGAGCATGACCAACCACATCCGAGTGAGTAGTGGTTTGAGTATTGGAAAGGACGAGCCAACCGTGGTTTATGAAGACAACGCAGCTTGCATACATCAGCTCAAAGAAGGGTACATCAAAGGAGACAGAACGAAGCATGTCTTACCCACGACCTCCAGAAGGCCAACGAAGTTCAAGTGGTCCAAGTTCAATCCACTAACAACCTAACCGTCATGTTCACCAAGTCCTTACCAACCTCAACATTCAAGAAGTTCGTGTACCAGATTGGGATGCGTCAGCTGAGCCATTTTCAGTGATGCATTCATCAGGGGGAGTATCATGTGTTGTACTCTTTTTCCTTGTCTAAGGTTTCTATTTTTTCCACCTTGGGTTTTTGGTTTTCCTAAAGAAGGTTTTAACGAGGCAACATTAAGCATAGTACAAGCCCATACGGTTATGGCATCCAAGGGGAAGTGTTATGGACAATTATGTGGATGGGCCATAACCATTAGCTAGACTTAGAAGTGGCCCAATGGCCATAGACCCAATAGCTTTAGACGACCATATGTATTTATCTTTTCTATGTATTTCCATTTCCTTGTTGCTTTAAAAATTGAATGTTTTCCATTTATCTTATTCTTGTAACTCATATATATAAGGAACCTCATAAGCAATAATAATACACACATATTTCATCTTTGTTTACAACAGTATTGTAATTTTTATTATTTATACATTTTATTGATCAAAATTATTTAGATATATAATTTGCTTTATTTGAACTATTCTTACCATAAAAAAAATTATATAATCTATTTAATCTACATTTATTCTATTTGGTATGTATGATTTCAACCGTTTGAATTGCCTTTACTACTCGTAGTCTATAATATATATCTAGAATAGAATTTGACTAATGGTACCTTTGGTACGTAACTATTCAAATTGTTGGACAAGTAACGTTTGGATCTATCATGAACGCAACCTAGTCGTGGTCCATAATTTTGTTTTATTTTAGTTTTGGTAAACGGTCGTCGTTTGTCTTGATGATGATATACAATGATGAGAAAAAGAAGTCGCCATTGTTTTATATTTTGTATGATTCATTGCAAGCTGTACTACAATAAGAATTTATACAAACTATTTTTGGTCTCAACAAGTAAGGGTATCTCGAATTTCAAATGATTACTTGTCGAAATTGTGTGTGGATAAGATTATCTATAAGTGTCTAAACTAATCAATACATGGAGTATATCAAAATACAAAGAGATATTAATTCAATATCTTACGAATGACATTGCTGGAAAACGTTACAAAATAGAATATACGCAATCTCCTTGTCCATGGGATTGACTTTTAATATATTACAAGAAAATATAAAGAAAACTAAAGAATTGTGTATGAAAAGTGCATAATTTATATTTTAGAAAAGGCGAGGACACATAATTTTGATACAAGCAGTATTGTTATTATGTATGATTAAATTATGTAGAATTACTTATTTATGTTGGTAGTACAAATTCTTCTACCTTCCAGTTGAATGAAATAATCATACTATCAATTCCATAAAAACAACAGAAATCTAATGAAAAGAAATTTCTACACCTTTGATGAAAAATAAAAATGAGATGAATTTATTCTATTTTTTATATTTCATACTCTTTTGATCCATCAATTATACTATTGTATTTACAATCTAAACGTTTCAGCCAACTAAACCGTTCAACTAAAGGAACCACTAGTCATTCAATTGTGTCGGTATGTTGACCTTGAACCGATGATGTTCCTTCACCGCCTTTATCAATTTCAACTCTCGGCCAAGGAACCTGCGTACTCCTCCACAAAAGCGACGTGTTTTTAAGAAAACTCCACCGGTCTGCTCGTACCGAGTCCCCGGTCGGACTTGTTACTGCATTTGCTCTAATGCTACCACTACCACTACCACCTAGCCTAACCGAACCATCGTCCCGGCTTCGCCACATAAACGACGATGTTTTGATGAACAGCCACCGGTCCGATCGAGTCCTTGATCGGTCAACCGGTTTAGCACTCCTCGGTAGAACCAAAAGACTATTCGACCGTTTCATCTTCCATTTTGCTATCATCTTATTCCTTAGATCTTCCGGTAACCTTAGAGTAAACCGCTCGGTACACTCTCCAGGTAATACCACTGAATGTCCCGTCGTGTGTGACCTAGAGAATTTAACACGCGCAACACTCTCCACTCCCGGTTCAGAAATTACCGGTTGTTGCGACTCGAGATCCGTTTCGGTTATTACTTCCGGTTCGACAGGTCCAACCATCTGCTGCTGGTCAGCGAGATTAGTGCGGCAAACGGGACAAGTCACGTGACCCTGGAGCCATTCGCCGATGCAGTGAGAGTGGAACACGTGATCGCATTTAGGTAGCAAACGCAGCGTTTCGTCGTCCTCGAACTCGTTCAGACATATCGCACACTCCAACACACCTTTCCCTATCTTCTTTGTCTTCACTTCCGAGTAGACGAAAGTTGGGAACGTCTCAATCATTGACGCGTCGAGACCACGCGCCACTGTCGCGTTCGTCACTCTCCTTGCACCTACCCAAAGGTTAACGCTGCCGTCGACTGTCCCCGTGCAGTGACGGATGTAGACGGTGAAGAACCCGATGAAGAAGAGAATGATGACTATAGCTACAACGACCACAGCCATGGCGGGAGAGAGCCTGCCGCCGTAGTCATAAGGGTTATATGGGTCTTCTTGTACGGCTTGACTTGACGCTAGCTCCGACATGGCTAATAGTAGAAACAGGACAACGGTTTGCTTTCTGGTCAACGGTAAGCCGAGAAGATCTGTCTGATGTAAGAAACTCTTCATGCTTTTAGAAAATTCAGAAGCAAAGTTATTATTATCACATGACAAGAGAAGAATGTGAAGTTTATAGAGACTAGAGAGAGATAAATATATTATTTGAAAAGTTGAAGGCTTGGAGAAGAAGAAAGGAGGAACGTACTCAAGAAGGTGGTGGGACCTGTTTGGGGAGATGTCATGAGAAAATGTGTCACTAACTTACAGAGAGAACTTTCCAGTTGTGGAGGCAGTGAAAGTCATCATACTCTCGAGAGTTTGACATGGTCTCCTATCTATTAATATGAAAGGAATCGTTTTTCTTTTCCTTTCTCTGTTGTCATTTTCGTATTCTATGTAGCCTTTCCACCCACAAGTTTCATGCATTTGCTGTTAAATCTGTTAACCAGATTAGTTTGAAAAGGATTGATAAGCTTCATCAGCGGAATTAGTTTACCGACTTTGGAAGACCATCACATTTAGACTGTAACTGGAATGCTATTTTATGGAATACATTTGTTTGGAATGCATCATGCCATAGCATTCCATAAAATATTTATCAGTCATAATGAATACCATGTAAAATAAGTCCATATATTCCATTTTTGGAATGAAACAAAAACAAAATCCTTTGCAGATTTTATTCATTTTGTTCCACAAACTCTCCCGAATGAATGGAACGAGTGGAATTAACTATTCTATTAATACTCGGATTAAAAAGAACACTATCTAACAATAATAAAAAGGGAATACTCTTAATAGAGAGAGTGTCCACGTAGGATTAAAAAAATTAACCAATGAGGGACTTTTAATTTCTCATGTCATCCCAGTTGCTGAGTTTGCGTCATCCTCGCCACTCACCGTCTCTGTTTCTCTTGCAAATTTTCTCTTCTCGTCTCTTTACCTTCCTCTCATTCAATATTTTCTTTAAATTCAACAATAATTGTTATTTTCATTATATTTCAGAGGTTTCTCCCTCTTGACTCAAACTCAAAAGAGAATCTGAAAAAACCCCGATGATTGCATGGCAATTGCTAGATCCGCAACAACACATTCAATGAACGGCTACGGCTATTTTCTTTCTCAACTACATTCTTCCCGGAGGCAATCTGAAGAAGGCCGAATCTGGAACGCCTCTTAATTGGTCTTCAGATGCCGATTCATAGAAAAGAACGATCAACTCCGGCGTTCCAGGCTTATATCTCAGGTACCTTTTAACCTTCAATTTTGCTTTTAGTTATTTGATTAATAGAATTTTGTCCCCGTGAATACATATTTGACTCATTGACTGAAAAAAACCCGGAAAACACTTATATGTAATGATTGTTTTGTGATGAGTGTTTTAATTTAAAGAAATCGGCCTGGTATGATTTGTTCATGGACTAAATAAATAGAAAAATCTGCTCGGCTTTTGCACTTTTTACAATTGTCTTAGCAAAAAAAAGTTCCAGTTCATTGTGGGGTTGCATAATTAAGAAAAAGTATATGAAAATGATTCCTTGAAAGTTTAAGTCATATATTAAACTTTTGCCTATTTGCTCACAATTGTAGTTTTTGAATTTAGAAGATTTGTTTGGTTAAACATGGTTATGACTTGTGATGCATGGAGGAGGATGGTCCAACACACGGAGGAGCTGTATCTACAGGAAAACCACACGCAGTGCCTCATCAAATCACATGGAAAAGTTTTGGTCTTTTTACTGGAATCTTAAGCAACAAAGCTAATGAGAATCTTGGTTTGTTGTCCAGAACTATATCATATGAGCTTTTATCATTTTCCTGCAGTGACTAAATATCTTTATTTGATGCAGACTTCTACAACTGGCAAAGTCAAATTGCGTTACTGTGATGGTGCCTCTTTCACATGCGATAGTGAGGACCAGGTTAGTATTCAAACATAATATGCTCTCTCACTTCCCTTTCTCTTGGCTTATATAATGTCAAGCCAAAGCGCAAGGCGCTCCAAGGCCAAGGAAAGCGATTTGCATACGAAAAGAACAGAGCATACTGAGTTTGTGGATAAGACAACGGAGACGGTAAAACCTATCATCTTGGGAGCTCTTAAGCCTGCTATGGAGATAGACAACCCCAATGGTGGCAATGGAAGTGGACATGCTGCTGAAGTTACATTGTAAATGCTAATTCATATCTGTTGCGTGAGTTTCTGAATGTGACATCAATGTTATCTATTATGGTCGTTATCTCTTTCTGTAGAGATGGTTGTTCCACACGTCGACAAAAGCATTCTCGAGGAACTTGAAGCGATGGGTTTCCCTAAATCTCGTGCTACCCGAGCACTTCAGTACTCTGGTAAAGATCTCACGTTATTCACTATTGATTGAATGTTTTGCTTACTAAATGAAGTTTATCTTGATCGTGTGTGACTACACTCTTGAACACCTCTCATTTATCCCAGTAAAGCATGTTGCTATCATGCTAAGTTTTTAAACTCTTATTATGCTGTGTTTTTTTTGGGTTATCATGTTATTATGTGGCAGGCTCAGTAAAGAAAACAAATTACACCTTTCTGAAAACTTCAGTTGTACACTTTGGCTGGCTGTTGAAAGAGATCCAAGTAAAATTTGGAAGCAGAGAGGAGTAAACTGATGAAAGAACTTCATCAGCATTACGACAATTATCCATCTTGGTCATTGTAGAAAATTCACTGCTTTCTTCCTCTTTCTTTGCTTGAAAGTCACTTCGACTCCATTTCCATGATTTGCCTATATTTCAGCTGTGATAAATCTCATGCTTCAAATCTACATTGCTGCTACAACTCGACAAAGCGGTATGCATGCGTATAAGCGGATTAGTATGTGTTTTTGGTCAGGCATATGTATGTGTATCACAACAGTTGTTTAAAACTTTTAAAACTGTTGATGGTATAAGCCAAATAAAATAGTGTTATAATTTTCTACTATTTGTTTATAAACAATAATATAATAATAATCGTGTAAAGTAATTTTCCGATAGTAAAGTTTACCAAATGTGTTTATGCTTTATTATAAAAAAAATATTGAGATATGAATACAACTTCTAATATAAATAATACTTAGTTCTAATTTTGTAAAGTTTTTGAATAGATAATAATATCAGTAGAAATCAATCTCAAAATATTAATATTGATTTAGGTTTATGAAGATATGTTTCATATTACAATATTTAGTTTACAAAAAATAAACAGTAAAAAAGAAATATAATTAAATACATAAATTTTCATTTTTGTAATTAGGCAAGCAACTAAAAAGGAAGTCATAGAAACAGAACTATAAATTCCTGAAAATATGTAGTTATTGTAAAAAAACCATATGAATCGACACTTTACATGATTTTTATCAATTATTTTATAATTTACTTTTGTTTTAAACAAAACAAATAATATTTTCAATATTTTATCTCTTGGTTGCCCCATATAATTTCATCCATTCGTTTTCACCTCTTGAGTGTACTGAATCAATATTACGAACAGAAAAAAAAATTAATGCATCATGAAAACCCCAATAGAATACTAACTCTATAATCAAACTTAATCATAGTAATTAACGTTAACAGGATCTAAGACTATTTAAACTGAATATTAAATTATATCAATTGTTTTACATTTCAAACTCTATAAAGTAACTCAAACTACTAAAATCTGAGACCTCATTTATTACTCACAAAATATTTGATTTTTGTAATTAAAAATAGTCAAATTATTTACTTCAGATTATTCATCAAAAGATTCCACCAATTCTATCATAAGAGTTTATTAACCAATATCTTAAACTAAAATAAGTAAGAAAATTTAGATACAAATAAGTTAAGTCAAATAAAAACAACAATTAGCTGTCCACGAATTAACATACTTTAAATATATTTAAAATCATAAAATAATTTTTATATAAAATATATATAACCACAAAAATATTAAATATTTTATATAGAAAAAAACATTAAGAATACTACATGAAACCACACTAAAATTTTCACATAGGAATTGAAGAAAAATATTCATATCAAATAATTTTCTTTTAATAAAGAGAAAATATCCAAAAGTAACTAATAGACCTTTAATAAGAAACGACAATTAATCAACCAATTACTATTTTGTCTTAACAAATATCTAAAACTTTTATACGAAAAATGACTTTTGTATAAGAAAATCAAAATGATGAATAAAAAAATCAAAAATATACACGATCAAAATATATATTTTATTTTCTAAATGTTTGTATATGATCAAATTATTATTTAAATTATATTTTAAAAATATTATTTTATTTAATATATTATGTTTCAGTTTGGTGTTTTTATTTTGTCTTCAACTCGAAAACAGATTCTAACTAGACTCTGTAAACCAAACTGGTAGATCGGCACCCATATGAACAACATATGAAGGCTGTTTTCTGGTACTGCGTGCGAGACTATCCGCCTTGGTATTTAGCATTATTGGTATATGAATGATGTCTGAGTGCGTGAAACGTTTCTGCAGGATCTTTTGAATTTCCAGATAATTTGCAAAGGCTGGCCATTCGTTTGGTGTAGAAACCATCTTCACCAACTGAATACAATCCATAGCAAACATGACTTGAAATTGACGTAAACTTCTCATGCACTCCATTGCCCATATAACAGCTTCTATCTCCGAATGCAGTGGCGATAGACTTGCTCTTGTATTCCTTGCACCCATTAAACCGCGAAAATCTTGAAAAGTATTATACCATCCTTGTCCCGAAAACTTTAACTGATTTTTCCAAGACCCATCTGTAAAGCACCAACGGCCCGGTATGGATGGTAGCCTAAATTCTTCGTCCTCATGTACTTGTTGGGGAACTTGTCTCATGGACTCTTCGGCCTCTATCCATAATAGCGATTCAGTCTCCGCCAATTTCAGTGTATCAGAAGCTCCCACATCCATATTACTAAAAACCTTATTATTTCTTGCCTTCCAAATATATCATAAAATCTAAGCAAAATGGTGGTCATCCATCTCTGGCTTTACCCTCCATAATAAGTGATCCATGTTTGTGAATAGCGCCTTGGTAGGAAAAAACTCCGGGTTTGAAG